TCAACACTTTGTTTGCAATAATGAGAGGATTCGTGAGATTGCAGAACTCAGCACTGAACAAAACTCAGGTTTTTGAGCAGTGAGTGGATTCTGATTAACATTGTGTTCAAGGAATCAACAGATTTGTCTGTGATACATTACTCAACACAGCAAAAACACGTTGTAAATAAGTTAGAAACCTTTGAAGCTCCCCTGAGCACAAACACAAATATGCTGATCGAGTCAGTCGCACTGGTGCTTCTAAATATTTTTTTTCAAAGTTGCACGCAGTAATTTTCATTCGCAAATGCACTGCTTCTCCATGCAGGGCTGCGCATCAGCTCACACACTTAAGTTTTTTTCTCGCGTTACCCTATCTCAACCCCCAATCATTAGCGCAGTTTCGTTTTGTCTTTGACAGCGCATATAGGACAATTTTTGAAATAGCACCATTCTACTAAACAAAATTTATTTCAAATTTAATTCAAGCACTTTCAAGGACTTATATTTGTTTTCAAGTACTTGCCAGGCCTTGAATCCATGCGTCTGATATTCAAGTACTTTCAAGAAGCGTGGGAACCCTGCATACACATCGCACACCCCTATGCTGTTTAGATTTTTATAATGCATCGTCTTATTATTGATCTACCAGTTCACATTTAAAGCACTGCGTGTTTGTAGGGTAAAAACATGGGTCGATTTTTGCATTTGTCTGAACTCTGAACAAAACAACCATTCTCTGCCAGCAGGTGACGCTTTTGGCAGACCTATAACTATTTCCCCGGTAACTGCTGTACACAAAGCAGCGCAGCACCGGACTTTGAACCTGCAGCGCTCATGAAATCATAGCCTTTTGAAGTTTAATCGTCACATTCAGCATATCGCAATTCTGGTCTTACCGTCCCCAAATTTAAGACCTCTTTAAATCATAATTAAGACTTTCTTGTGCAATTTAAGACTTTTTAAGGCCTTAAATTTGATACAACTAAATTTAAGACTTTTTAAGACACCGGAAACCCTGTTTTAAGTAGATTCATTAAAAACCTCCAAAAATGACCACAAACACTAGATGTATGACAAAAGTTATCAATACAGAATATTTACCTTGATATAGTAATTGTTCAGATTCTTCAAATTATTGCTAGCACATTATTAATATCTTGAAGTCTGAAGTAAATTCTGTTTTTGTCAATTATCAACAATGTATTTTAAATAGAATGTGCTAATCATTGCTTGCCACACATCTTAAATTCAAATGCAGTTTTTGCTTTCAAATGTCCATTTTCTACCTTAAAAGACAATTTTTTGATGTTCAAGTTTTAACGTCACAGACAGGCCTAACTGAGACACGTGCTAAGTATATGTGAGTGTGTCTACTTACATTATCTCCGATTCGCAGGTACAGCTGCTGCAGAATGAGCAGGTCTCTGCAGATCAGAGTTCGGGTCATAGCGATCTGACATACAGCTTGACAGATCAGACTAGCGGCCACACTGCTGCCGTAGAGCTGAGAGAGGCTAATGCGCACTCTCAGAGACTGACCTGCAACAAACACCACATCAGTGCTGATCAGGGCAAGAGCCCAAACATGTATTTGAAAAAAAAGAGGGTTATCCTTTAATACTCCCGCGAAGGAAAAAATAATAAATGAATACACAAAAGAATAATCTTTCCGCCGTTTACATACAACAACAGCAGACTGTAAGCAGGGGCTATCAAACTCCAAAAAAAGATTACAAACACTAAAAAGTCATTGCCAATTATTTCCTTTGGTTATGTAATTGTGATTATACATATTTATTAATATTTAATATATTACAAATATAGTTTAAATACATACTTGTTTTTATAAATAGAACTTTGCATAAAATACTTTTTTGTGCAGCATGTCTTATCCAGACATCCAGAACAAAATGTTATTGAATTACTCTACTGCTATTTTTTAACAAAGTAAATCAAGGCCTAAAGGGGCCATCTTCACTATCAATATATTATAATATGTAGCAATTTGAACCAAGATATTGCCATAGATAAGAATGGATTCAGAAAAATGATCATGATTTTTGGGCAAAGTACTCTTTTACACATCTCAAGATCATTCACCGCAGAACACTTAAAAAGGTGTTTATAAAGGTGTACCAGTGTGTCTGGAGTCAGTCTCTGCATCAGTCTCCAGGTCCAGTTCTCTCAGCAGCATGTTTATTGCAACAATGGGGTTATTGATGTCTTGCAGTTTGTTTGTAATGTCCTGAATCACATTCCCACTAGAGAAGATATTTCACTTTAGACATCAAACTGATCAGTTACTGGTGTGACTGCATTAAATCAGTCATTCAAGGGATACTGACTTGTCACTGGCCAGAAGACCCTCCAGTACTTTTTCTGACACTTTCTCTGGAGACAGCAGGTCCTCAAGGGCTTTCTCCATCTCATAGGCCATGTCCTCCGGAAGAGACTCATTCACCATGCGGAGACAATGAACGAGCTGCAGGACGTCACGGCTCATTTCTGAATCTAATAAAAGACCACCACTAATGACTGCTGATACAGCTGGATTACTTCATGTCAACAGTGGCTGGTTGTCTTACTAAGTGGGCAGATCATGGCAAAAGTTGCAGAGCGGATCAGACTTTATAAAACAAGCAGTCTCTCAAGACATTGCCCTCTTACCCTCAGCAATTGGAGTCTCCTCTTCAGAAATCAGGTAATCATCCGAGGACAGGTAAAGATGGTCAATAGCAAAGCAGGGTAGTAGGAAAGACACAAAGCCCTAGGAAAGTAGAGTAAAAAGATTAGCCATCAACCGCTTTATCACCAAGGCTGATATTTGACATTTTTTAATTACTGTCATCGGCCTGTAGGTTTTTGGTCTGTTTGACTGGTGAGAGCTGAAAATGGGACTTTTATTTTGATGCTTAAAGGGGTCATATGATGTTGCTAAAAAAAGAACATTATTTTGTGTATTTGGTGTAATGAAATGTGTTTATGCAGTTTAAGGTTCAAAAAACACATTATTTTCCACATACTGTACATTATTGTTTCTCCTCTATGCCCCACCTTTCTGAAACGCGTCGATTTTTACAAAACTCATGAAATGCGAGGTGTGCTCTGATTGGCCAGCTATCCAGTGCGTTGTGATTGGCTGAATACCTCAAGCGTGTGACAGAAATGTTACGCCCCTTACCATATTGTGATGCCGGAGCGACGAGACAAAAACATTAAAACCCATTATAAACGAGGCATTTGTTGCATCCAGTGGGGACATAATTACGGATTATAATGACTTATACTGTGCTTTTACGCGTTTACTCGTAAACATAAAACCATGTCTGCATTTGTGATCGGAGAAATGACAAACAACAAGTGCTACTCTACACTGCTCAAAACTAGTTTGAATCGTCAGTGGCAAATTCTTTAAATATAAAAAAAACGCACTTACAGTCTGTGAGTCAGAACAGCCGGCATTGTAGTCTACTCTACCAGGAACAGGAAACAGTCCGAATATGAATATTTGGGTTGAACTGTTCTGGAACAGTGTTGTAAATACAACTTAACCACTGATTTCTAGTCGTGTCCTCTTTTG